AAAAGGCTGGCCCACCCTGTTTTTAGCTGCTGCTTTTTTTTTTTTTTTTTTTTTTTTACAGGGACAAACCATTCCATCAATGTGAGTGTCCAAACAGCTGAATCTTTGTCTAGTCCAGATTCAACTTTTCCAGAACCTCCACCTCTGATTTTCATGGATGAAACAATGGAGAACCAGCAAGAAGTTCCAGAAATGGTAATACATTCAAATATTAGTAAAAGTTCCTAAAGTTAACCTATCATGAGGCTAATACAGAGGCTATGCTTCTTTGGTTATAGACATCACTTTGAAAATGCTAGCTGCCGGGGTGTTATGCTGATTACAGTACTTCCAGAGTCAGTGACCCACAACTAGTATGCAGATCAAAAGTCAGCAATGTCACATGACGTTATCTACATACTTGTTCAAGGTCAATGACTCAAGGTATGTAAGTGGGAGGTTCAGTGCAAGTCATCAGTGGCAGCAGCCATTTTCTCTCATTGCAGGTGTACAGTATTTTAAAACCACTTTACCCACTTTTCCTTAAAAAGCTTAGTGACATTAAAGTCAAAAAATGTTTTCCCTCCCCCAATGTTAATGTCAGCACTTACCTTAAATGATGTCTCTTAATCCGATCTTCTTCTTCTTTCCTGATGTTTTCATCTGTCCCTCCAGCGGTGTGGCGGGTCTCCGATCCAGCGCTGACTCCTCTCTGCTTGCAGGCACTTCCGATCCCGCTGTGTCTGCATGTGGGTGCACGCGTCCATAGACTTACCTTGCGTCTCTGCTCGTCTCCCGGCCGAAAATCCGAACTGCGCATGCGCCCGCCCTTAAGATGCTTTGCGGCCGCCCGAACAGTTTCGGATTCTCGGGCGGGAGCGCGCGGCGAAAACAGGGTAAGTATGAACCGCTGTTAAAGCGGGGTGTTTTTTCCCCAACTTTTTCCCTATATCTACTGCTTGCGATATATGCAAAAAACAGGAGGGTTTAAGAAACCCTTTAAGTGAAATAGATTACACTATGTGAATGTGCTGTCTTTCAAGCAGTTTGTGAAGCTGTTTAAGATGCATGAAAGCATAACTGTAGGGTGGCTGAGCTGTGCATCTCTTACCATAATGTCAAATATATGAACGGACACATTGTGACAGACTAACCTGTAGGCTTGCCCTGCTGCAGAGGAGACATCTAAGTGATCTCATCGCCATCACTGCCATCTTCTTTCAGCCATCATCTTTTTTTGGCCATTGGGTGCACACTGATGATGTAAGTCTTGTGCATGCACACTGGAAGTATGCTATCTCAGGAGTGTAAACTGCACTGTTCATGTGCCACATTTAGACCCCATTCACACTGAGCGACGTGTCGCGCGACTTCTTCCTATTGGGCTGTATGCAATCAGGAGAAATATATCGCTCAAAATCGCTCTAAAAAAGGGTCATGTAGGAGCGACAAGCTACCAGCGACGAGCTACAAGCGATATTGAGCGACGAGATGTGAACAGCTACATTGAAATGTATTGGTGAAGCTACATAGAGCGATATAGCGCGGAAATATGAGCGATATCGCTGCAAAAATCGCTCGATAAATCGCTCAGTGTGAATGGGGCCTAAGTGTACAGTAAAAAGGAAAACAAATGTCAAGAGACAGGCAAGGTTCACTTTAATGTTGTCCGTACACTGTTTGTTTTTTGTGGGGCTGAACGAGAGAAAACTTTGTTCCCCCATCCACACTAAACCACATGGATGGGGGAATCTTCCCTGCCGGCTATTGAATTTTGACAGTGGCGGTTGTGCCACTGTCAGAATACCCAAATGATGGCTGCAGATGATTGGCTGTAGTCACTGTTTAACTGAAAATGTGTGGCCCTGCTCCATCAACGAAAGTCAATTGAAAAATGTACTTTTTTTTTTGAAAGGAATGGTGCTGACAGGGCCACACATTGCTCAAATTTGGCCTGTGTATGGCCAGCTTAAGGTGGATGCCCCTTTTTTAAAAGGTATGTCCTTTTTGTCTTTTCTCATTATCTTTTATGGATTTCATCTAAATACATTGGAGTATATTCCCACACATGATGGTGGTGTTTGCTGCATCACTGCCCCTGGGAAAGTCTTGCCATAATACTTAGAAATTTTCATTCAAGTGAAAACTTTTACTTTTGACATTTGTGTTCCTTTTTTTTTTTCTCAAGGAGCAAGACAGCCTCGCAAAGCAGATCAAAGAGGAAGCAGAAAGGCTGAAAAAAGAAAAAGAGAAAGCAGAAAGAAAACGTGATCTAGAGGAAAAGCTCAAGCGGGATAAAGAGCAAAAGATTTTGGAGGACAAAGCAAGAAAGCTGCGTGAAGGTAGGGAAAAGCTTAGACGCACTGTTCAGAGTTTATTTTGTTTTTTTTAATCACTTTTATTAAGTTTTTCTTTAAACAAACAACATAAAAACATTATATTTTCACGCTATTGTTTACTCTATTAAAAGAGCTGTCATAAGCTGAACATTTAGTGCCACATTTATAACAGAGCGGATATCGCTATACTCCTCAGTGAAACACCACACACACCCTGCAGAGAGAACTCTGTAAAGCACAAATGCTGTAAATGTGCTTTTTTTTTTTTTGTCCCCATGCCATGGTAAGGCCAAACTGTAGATTTTTAAATAGACCCCTTACATTTTGCATCCCAGTTAAATTTGAAAATGGAACCTTAAGAATATTCCTGCATATAGAAAGCAGAGCTTACTTACAACATCAGTTTTTGATTCAGGCATTGCTGTAGTGCACTAATCAACCCCAGTCCCTTTTGTTCATAATTTAGAAATGCCTGCCTGTAAAGCAGAACAGGAATTCTCAAACACGTCCACTGCACTCTGCTTGCCGCCGCTCACAAAAGAAAGGCTGGTGTTTAAAAATTGCCAATACAAAGTTTCTCACAGCCGCAAGTCAGATTCAAACCTGTCTTGGAAGTTTTAGAATGTGATTTAAGCAGACAGAAAGAGAGAGGAAGTTGAACAGCTCAAGCTTCAGTAAGTACAATGCCTGGTGAATCTGGGGGTGCGCTGTGAAATCCAGATGCACTGGAAGACACAAAACGTAGATTAAAGTAAATTAATTGAACTTTCTGAGTTTAGCAAAGTTTCAGTGTTGACCGATAGCATAGGTACCTCACTGCATTGCACATGTTGCCTTGAAAATTGTGTTTTAAAGTAAACCTTTCATGAGCGTAATATAGGGATTGTCGTGGCTTATCTCCCTCTAAAAAAAATTCTAGTTGCCTTGGTATTGTTCTGATTCACTGGCTTTAGTTTGTCACTGACCTATAACAGGTTTTCAGATCAAGAAAGTCCTAAAAGCTTATGTGCATACTGTATGTGTTCTAGGTCAGGAACTCAAATTATTAAAGCAGAAGGCTCAGAATGACAGCTAGGCATCAAAAGGAAAGACCATCAGTGACAGCCTCCAGTTGTTTGGTCATGACAAGTTTCTTCTAAATGAAACATGTAACTTTATCTGGTAATGGATGCCAGTATAAAGCCAGGGGTAATATGGAGCATATAGGAGACCTATATAGGTCAGTTTTATATAGGAGAACAATTTTTGGGGGGATTAGCAGAATATTAATGGGAAAGGATCCATGTCATTGCAAGTGCAATAAATCTTGCGGAATAGTATGACATTTCTGGCATGGCCATATATGGCTTTCTAGCTTCACATTATATAATGCATTTTTTATAGAACTGTCATCAATTTGTTTGTCCTAAGCTAAGTTCAGAATGTGTACTTCCTTTTTATGATGTTTGCAGAGTGGGAAAAGGAAGAGTTGGAAAGAAAAAGGAAAGAGCAAGATAAACTTCGAAACCAAGAAATTATAAACCATCCTGAAGAAGACCGACTTAGAAAGGAACTTTTGCTTGCGAAAATGTTTGAAATTGACAGAGAGAAGCAGGAGCCAATTTACTCTGATTCCAATAAATATGTTCCCACAGCACCTCTTGGGGATGCAGCTGGTAAAACGGACATGACAAATACAAAACAAAAAACATACAAGTTCTCAGAGCCAACTGAGAAATTGTTTAATGGACTTCCAGTCCTTGGAGGGCAAGAGAGATCTGTCCCAAGTCGTAGGAGTGAAATCTCAAGTGACAGCACTGGGGATATTACGTTTGGGAACTATACCCCATCTTTTGGGAAAGGAAGATCGCCTGGTAACAGCCAAAAGAAAAATGTATATGTGGAACCTCTGGTAAGCACCACCAAGCTGGAGATAAAGAAAGAAAAGAAATCAAATTTAATGGAACAGCTGTTTGGCGGTAGCCCCACTACTGTTCTTCCTTCAGTTTTAAAAGGCAATGATCAAACTGTTTTTACTTCCAGCAGTAACCGAGTTACTGACAATGACACAAGCAACACTCTGCCCTGGGAGCAAAACAACAAACTCAAAGGAAAAGGTGACATGGCCTTCCCCAGTGATGGCAAAACCGCAAGCTCCAGCAGACACCACACACAGCACCCAACCGGAAGGCCAATAGTAAAAGCTATTGATTCATTAGAAGATGAAATTGAAGAAGTAGCTTTATAGAATCAGAGGCATATGTGCCTGATCGACTACATTTTATAATTCCATGTCAGGGCATTGTATACTGTTTAAACTGGCCATAGTTTGTTTATGTCATTTTAATAAATTATTGCAGATATCTATAATGATTTCATAAATACTATTTAAGTGAACAGTGATCATGGGCATTGTCGTTGTACATGCAGAAGAACAATTTGTGTTTTAATGTTGTACATAATTGATTTTGCAATGAACCCATATTGTGAAAATGTTGATTTTATGTTAAACTAAGAGGTGTTTGTTTCTCATGAAAGAACCCTGGTCCAAATGAACACTTTTCTACAACTTCTAATGGCAGAGATTCTAATGTTCAGATTCTTTAAACATTTTTTTAATAAACATTTATTGTTTCACATCTTAAAGTGTTAAGTATAACCACAGGCAGAAGAGACATTGTTATTCTGCCCATTATTCATGCTTTAGCAAAACAGATTGAAGATTAAAATGATGAAACAGGAAGATTTCATCAGAGTATAATCTTCAAATAACCAAGGGATACATAGAAGGAACTTTCTGGACCTGGTCAGATCAAATATTGGCTACACAAGATGAGCTCTATTCCACTCTCCCCTGACAACTCAGGAAGGATATGGACTTCATATGATCACTAAAAATTAGAGGTGCACCGAAATGGAAATCACTGATCGCTGAGTGTGTGTACCCTGCTCTTCTCTCTGACACGCTGTCCCAGGAGGCTGAGCGAGCCCAGAAACGCGTTAGCCTAGGGCTAAGTGTGCCACGTGATCAGTACTCCTGACAGCTGGAGTTTTATACACATATTCAGCCTTTGCAACATGTGGATTATAGCTACAGCTGCAGTTTTCTGATGTGGAACTGTGTAGAAGGCTTCTTATGCACAAGAATTTGTGAGTATGTTTTTACCTCTGTCCTCCATGAATAAAGTGTTACTACACAAGGGAAGGCGCTAGGGATGCACCAGTACCATTTTTTTCCAGACTAAGTATGAGTAGCGATACTTTTTTTCCAAGTACTCACCGATACCAATTACTGATACTTTTTTTTTTTTATGTCGTGACAGTTTTTTAAAACAATATAAACTAATGATTTTAAGACAGTGGTGAAGTGCCAGTGCCTGGTCTCAGCTGCAAACGCTGCGTCCCTGGTAGTTCTGCCACTGACCTCAAGCTGTGGAGGGACTACAAATCTCAGCAATACATTATACAACAATGCAGAATACCACAAGCTATAGAGGACTCCAAATCCCAGCAGTACATTACACAGAAATGCAAAATACCACCATCAGCTATAGAGGACTACAAATCCCAACAATATATTATACAGCAATGTAGAATAAAACCATAAGCTAGAGGACTACAAATCTTAGCAATACATTATACAGCAATGCCGAATGGCAACTGCCTATAGAGGACTACAAATCCCAGCAATTCATTATACATCAATGCAGAATAATATGAAGCTACATACTCTGTGCTGCTCCAGGGTGCCGGGCTAATGTCTCCAGCAGAGGCTCTCAGGTGGCTGTGTGGGGTCTCAGGAGGGCTATGTAGACTCTTAGGTGGGCTGTGCAGGTTCCATATTATTATATAATAAACGCTTACCCCTGTAGTGCCCCTAATACAAATACAACAGCAGCAGTGATAAAATTAAGTGCAAATAAATCCCCCACAACACCACCCTACAACTTTAAATATGATGAATATCCCTATAAAGTGCTATGAGAGTTTCAAAAGCACATATAAAGTACTCAGGGAATATAATAAAAACTATGTGCTGTATTAGATGATCCCTATACAGCGCTATTTGTGATCATAACAATTATTCATGAAGTGCTCACTTTCACAATTATTTCCTCTTAGACATAAATATATAAATGTTCAAACTTATTTCATAAAAACTCCAAGAAACAATTACAATACATGAATATAAAGCATGTGAGACGGAGTCTTTTTAAAACCCATCAATCAAATGCAAAAAAGTAAGTTTTCACAAAAACGCATTGGATGGGCGGGGTATGGTGACACTGCCACAAGCCGACGCTGGAGAGACGCTGAATTAACTGGATGGCTATGAGAAGTGAATGATCACTTTTTAGTTTTTAAGTGCAATTCATGTTTTTAAGCAAGCTTTTTAAATGGTTTTACACGGTGTGTAGTATTTAGAGATGCACCGTAATGCAAATTTAAAAACCGAAATTAAAAAAAATATCAGACCGAACCGAAAAATGTTTTTATTTTAACTTTCAAATTTTTTAAAATATTTTATTTGTATTTATTTTTATAGTAGCCATACTCTGTCCTCAATTATGTATGTTTGCATTGGCTCTCCTTCCTGACACGCTGTCACAGGAGGCTGAGCGAGCGTTGCAGAGAGGAAAGCCCAGCCTCCTATGACACCGCGGGCTGTCTCCGCCCACACACCGCTCTGCCGGACTGTGATAGGAGGCTGAGCGGTGTGGGAGGAGAGACGCACAGTTTCCCTCCTCCCCACTGGGACACAGAACAGCACCCAGCGGGGAGGAGAGAATACACGGATGCACCGATGTATCGGCCAGAAAATGGTACTTTCGGCATTATGCCAAAAGTGGCATTTTCAGCCGATAGGTTATGGCAGCCGTTATATCGGTGCATCCCGAGTAGTATTTGTTCTTATTGAGCGGTGGAGAGGAATAATTAAAGTTGTGGGTCTGTGTTCGGATAAAGGGAGGAGTTTGCTGCTTAAGAGAAAGAGCTGTATGGTCATTTTATTCTAATTGACCAACAACCTCTGCTGAATGAGCTGTCTAGGAGATTGATCACACAGGTGTATTTGATTCTGCACTGAAGAGCACTTTAATGTAAAAATTTACTTTTTTGCACTGAATGGGTTTTAAAAAGACGTTGTGACATGCTTTATATTCATGTAATGTAATTGTGCCTTAGAGTTTGCCTCCTGCACACACACAACCACCTTGCTCCCCTCTGACGTCTGGGTGGAGTCCTCCTGAACACCTCTGTTCATCTTCCCAGCTGGAGCCCTGAACTTCAGCCAGCACCCTTTCCATAAGGGCTATGCACAGGTGTGCAATCATCAGGTGCTGGCCCCTACTAAACCATGAACCCGGGACTGGGGATCTCATCCCTCCTAATTCTCTTAGAAATCTCCCAGTTCCAGGATTCCATGCCAAATCCACAAAACTTTGGAAGAACTGCAAAGTCAGCTCTTTCCCAGTACAAGTACTTGCTTTCTGGGACCGCTCAACCCCTCTGGCTGAGAGTCCTGGGTGACTACAACCCCCAGTTCTACTGTGGGATTGCCACACAATTCCACTGTGTAGTGCGTGCATGTGTGTATATGAGTCCCTGTGCGGTCTTCGTTTTTAAGAGTACCTGTACCCCTGTATGTTACGGTCCCTAAGGACGTTATCTGATTGATTTTTGAATTAATCAATATTCTCTGCTGATACCACTGCTTGTAGCAGATAGTTCCAAAATTTAACCACTCTGAAAAGAGTGTGTGGTTAAATCTTTTCTCCATCAAATTTAGGTGGTGGCCTCTAGTCTTTTTTTGGGAGCTTACAGTAAAAAGTTTATTGGTGATGTTGCCATCACCACCAAACATTTTGTACATCAGAATCATGTACAAAGCTGTCAAGTACAGAAGTTAAGAGCATCCAGTGTAATAGACGCTTTAGAGGCACCAAACGTAGGAGCTGTGGGAGCAGGTTGCAGAGATTTGCAAGAGGTGCAGAGAGCCCCCAACCCGAGTGAAGGGTTACACAGTTTGACACTTGACCCACAGCTGAAGTGCCCACAGCTGTGGTACACTTCTCCCTCTTTGAATCTGCCATGTCAAGTCTCACTGACAAAAAATAGCTACTGCCTACAAATAGGGGTCACAGAGGTTTCCCGCCCTCCCAGCTGAATGAAGTGTGTCAGCGGGTTGGATGCAGGAGTCTGTATGCGAGGTAGCCACCTATACTAAGGTGCTCCTATCCAAGTAGCAGGAATGTTATACGCTCTCCTTGGAAAAGTGGCAACCAGGACAGATAGACAGGGAATCCAAATCGGCAGGCAAGTTCATAGTTTATACGTAATAGCAGGTCAGGGCAGGCAGCAATACTATTGAGGTCGAGTAACAAGGCCAGGGGTCAAAATACCAGGAAGTTATACGAAAGTTAAGTAACGAAGGCTAGGCACTACTAGAGGCAAAGCTCTGAAATAACCAAGCGCCATTTTGTGGAGGAAGTTGGTATTTATAGTTACAGGTGCCTCTGATGTCACAGGAGGAGGCATTGGCTTCACTATTATGAAGCCAATGTACACAGTGTGTGCACATTTTCCTAACAATATACTGTTGTCAGCAGCAGGGAGCGCCAGAGGCATTACATGATCTACTGAGCTCAGTTGAGCTTCCACAACAGCTGAGCTCACAACAGGAAGATCCTTGCTATTATCCCTGCTCAATGCCCGAAGGGGGACCCGAAGCAGCGGTGGGCTCATGGACATGACATGCAGGCTGTGTCTGCGTCCCACAGCAGGTAAGTCCTTACAAAGTGAGCCAAGAAAGGTACTTCTATAATGCTTCAACAGGCGCCTAAAATGGCATGAGTCTTTGTAATATCCCCTTTGCACACCGAACCGTTATACCCGAGAATCCAACTGGCGCTAGAACAACTGGTGGATGGTGCCAGTGTTCAATCTAGAAGATATTTTGTCTGCACACCATTCTGCTTCATAATGTGCAAAATTCTTCCCACAGAAGCTAGAAGTAGGAACGCATGTACTAACACTAAGAACTAGTAGCCTGATAGTTGGTAGGAAAAGGATCTAACTTCCAGCAAGAAGATCCCTTGAAGGCCTCTAGACATACCGAGGCAACCTGCAATGTTCTGTCTGCTTAGTTGATAAAGAAGTACAGGATTTATAAGGGATGGATATTTCCTTGTAAAGAAGAAAGGAGGCACACTTGTGTGCATGTCCCTCACAGTTTAAAGTAAGGAACAACAGAGGCAGACATCTGGAAGAAATAATAGTAGAGTCTAGACGGAAACAGTATGGACTATGATAACTGACGCAACACAGTTTAGAGCAGTGTCAACTCCCAGTCAGTTACAGGAG